GGCACCAGTGATCATTTCCTTCACTTTCCTCATATTAAGTATAAGCACACTAAAAGCTGTCCCTTTTTTGAGACCACAAATGCACGTGCTTCCCTGGAGTGTGTCACAGTGCGAGCATGTAGATGGTGCTTAGAAATACATGTTGAGTGAAGTGAACGAATGCATGTACTTCAAGTACCTCACCATGAACTTGTGCTTTTTAAAAAAAATGTAAAAACAAACGGCTCACAACCCTGCAAATACTACATACTCAGTTGTAGAAAATTACAAAACAGAGGACTTTAAAAAGCCTTCTTTCTAGGTTGTGTTGTTTCTGGTTCTGTTAGGAGTTATATAATTGATTCATATGCCTTTACGGTGTATTTCCTTAATACTATTGAAGGTAGCAGCTAAATAAATGAAGTCTCTAGAATATAAAAACAGAACCCGCTTACTCTGTCTGGTAGTTGATGAGACGCTGCTGCAAAGGCAGATTGGAAATTGACTGCAACGTCCATTATTTTCAGAAGTTCAGCTTGGGGTTCCTAGATGACTTTTCCCTCATTCTGTGGGTTGATGGAGACTGCCTGCCTCTCACTTTTCTTCTCTTTTCTATAAAAATTGCTGTAGTTCCTCCATACTCCCTTTTGACAAGAGAATTTTTAAACAAGTGTACACACATAAAAGGAACACAAATGTATTGACTCTGTAGTTGTGAAGATTTTAAAAGTGAGCTAATTGTTGTGGAGCCCTTGTGTTATGAATGCACTGTCAAACTTTCTGCAAGTTTTAATAAAGTAAAGGACTTGGAGCACTTCGATATTCCTCTAGTATAAACCTGAATAAGTATTGACATCAAGGGAGAAAGTGTGAGTAAAACGTTTTCTCCTGATAGTTCTGATCACATTATAAATATAAACATTTTAAAATGCTTTTATTTATACTGTTTCTTTTCAGGAAAGTTTAGTTTTCTGTGCATATTTGAACATTAGAAGAAACAGTTGGGAAGTATTTGTTTAACCAGAGTAGAACTTTCCAGATAATCCTACTTTCTGAACAACTGTGTCTTAAAATTTTGGTTTTGGTGGGAAGCATTAAAAATAAGCCCAGAAATCTCATTCCAAAATTGATTTGCAATATGAGTATCAGAAAGCTTTGTGCTAAAGCCAGATGGTCAGCATTTATTCTTTCAGGGGGCCAAATTAAAAGTTTTTCTTGATCAGTAGACTGTAAAATGTTTTTTGGGGAGTGAGAGAAAGCACCTTATAAAATTTTTTCCAATCTGGTGAGACATTTAAATACATTCTGAAAAACAAAATCAAGCCCCACTTTGATGTGGAATATTTTATACTTGATACACAGTTGACCTGTGAACAATGCAGGAGTTTATCATATATAACCTACAGTCAGCCCTCCGTGTGCGGGCTTCCTCTGCATCTGGGGATTCAGCCAACCTCGGGGCCTGTGGTGCTGCAGTGCCCATTACTGAAAAGTACCCTGGGTGGGGACCCGCGCAGTTCAGACCCACGTTGTTCAAAGGTCAGCTCTACCGCCCAGTGAATTCTAGACTTAGGTGTTTGGGTTTTGTTACCTAATTATTTTAACAAGGTGTTTGGACAGTTAGGCGCGGTTCTCAGATCTGCAACCTGAAATGGGTCTCAAGGGTGGCTTGTGACATAAAGGCACCTTGCCCTGTCTCACGCTGGCCAAGTGGCCTTTAAGAGGAAGTCTTAGCACTCATTATTTTAGCTTTGGGATTTTAAGACTGGATAAGAACTCTGTTGAAGGTTGCATTAACATTTTAAAAATGTGGTTATTAAGACCGTCAATTCTCTGTGTTTTGTTACTACAGAAAATCTGTGACAAGGAGAAACAACCTCTTTTCAGAGTATGTAGAGTGATTAGAATAATTTAAATGTTTAAAGACTTGGAATGAATTTGTAAATTTAGATTTGCAATATGTTATTTTGGTTTTCTTTGCTAATTGCAACAAAACTGATATTTTATAAGATTTGCCTTAGAACCACTTTATAATAATTTCACCACAGAATGTCATAAACATGGACTTTGATTTCTGAAATACCAAGGATACTGTATTAGACCCCTTGATTTTAACACCCTTTCCCACTGCCCTATTCCATGCCCTTGAGAAGATGCTTAGGAACTTTTTTCATCTACTGGTTAAATGCTCCTTCTCCTTTTCTTGGTG